CCTCTTTCAACATCTAAAATGTGAACTTCACAGTACAAATATTTTTTTTAAAAGGGGACTATTCTGCACATAACCACTAAAAGACATATTTTGAATTTCACAAATGTGCATAGGTAAATATTAAGAAATGATACAGCATCAGCCAACACCAATATAATCTTGGGAAAAATTTTCTTAACGTTCCTAAAATAATTATTGGTAAACTTGGTAAGACAAATTGACGTATATTAATTAATCTTGACTTTTGTTTCTTGAATATAGAAGAGAATTAATCATGAGGTTTTCTGGGTAGAGATGAGTTCTCAAACAGCACATATACGTTTTTATGTCCGTGTCCAAACAATGTGATATATGAATAATGTCTGTCGTTGACTTTAGTTATAAAATAAGAACTCGGAAATCACCCCTGTTGCTGATTTCATCAAGGTTTGATTTTTAGTATTCATTCTTTTCCCCTAACCCACAGTCACATAAAACACTTGCATAGAGTTCCACTGTTTAATCTACACTTGTATTTGGATTACCCCACTTTCTCGCCCTTTTATTTATTATTTTTTTCTTTTTTTGCCTGAAATACTGAAGTTTAACCTTTCAGGTACCAAGTCTTCTAAGGCTTACTCAGCAGTCGAAAGTGTTTTGTGTAGTTTCTCCTCTTCTTTTTCAGGTTTCTCTTTTCTCAGGCTACTTGGGATGAAGTCCTTTTCTCCTTGACTTTTAACTCCTATGTCTTGTTTCAGATGAAGAGGAAGTGTCCCCGCCTAGCGCCTTGCCTCCAGGTTAGGATGATTTCTAACCCTACCCCCCTTTTTAATTTATTTTCATTGACAGTAGAGGAAAAGAAAAGGCAGGGTCGGCCCCTTGCTGATTCGGTGCACAAAGCTGGCGCCTAGGTTTTGCCTCTGCCAGCACCAAGAGGGAAAACGTTGGCTTTAATGACATTTTTTTGTTTTACATGAGAAACTCTTAAAAAGGAGCCTCTCTTTGTGAAATAAATAAGATTAGTAAATCTTAGGTATAAATTTTAGGGGCAAAAATGTCTGTCTTCTATCTCCAGTTATATGCCCTTTTCCCCTATTTTCAAATATCTAAATTTAGGTATTTGAATTTTTAAATTTTATTACTGTTTTTAACTAAGACATACTTTTATAGGCACTTCCATAGCTGGAGCTCTACTGATTTTGCACTCAAGCCAACTTGCGTTTTTTTCTCCCCATGACCAAAAGAGACAGGGTTGGGGAAAATTCAAGAAGGTTGAAGTCAGCACTCCATTTTCATCATCCCCCCCACACCCCTGCATCATCCAAATCACGCTTTCCTTTCAGGTTTGGGTAGTCGGGCCTTGGAAAGAAAAGATTCAGGTGAGCACATGCCCAGGCAAAGCATCCTGACCCCATCCTAATACAATCTCTAATGACCTCATTTCTCGAAGCTGTATTGATTCTAATCCTTGTTTTATCCGGTTTGTAACTTTTCTAGCAATCTTTCATTACATTTCCTCTTACAAGAAAACTAATGTATTGAGAAACAATTAATTTTGCATGATACACACACATTCAAGAATCTAGCCACAAATACTACAGGTTGGTTTGTTTTATCATAAGTGTGATTTCTAACAAGTGGCGAATACACAGAGATCAGTCTCTATTCCTGTGATGTGCTGAAGTTAGATAATAATTCACATTTTTATGGAACTTTACATTGAGTTGATAAAACACTTTCAAATGCATTCTGTCAGCCATAGCTACAATTCTTCGAGTTTATTTATTCATTCAGTCACTCATGCGACAAATTTGTATCGAGGGCCTAATTTGATCCTATCGTGGGCTAGTCACTCCTGTAGGCACTGTAGGTACAGAAGTAGAGAGAACAACAAAAATACTTGTCCTCATGTTCTAAATGTGAATGGTCACTATCCACTATTACTATAATAGACATACACAACATGAAATTTTAACAATAACTTGGGTATTAAAAAAGTGTGTAATCATGTGACTATGTTGCTTAACTTCATTGTGAAAATGATAATCTCCTATGGATGGAAATACTTAGCATGATTGATACATGAAAACTAAAATAATTAAATGTGCATTTTCCCTCTTTTCGAGAAACATTAACAAGTAGAGATTTGGTGACCCATGCACTTTCTTTCCCAGTTATTAAGTGGTTGAAACTGAACTTCTCTGTATTCAACTCAGAGACACAGGGAGTATTTACAGTTCTCTCTCCTATCTTCCTCATTGGAATTGACTGCGGATTAACACTAACCAAGCATCTGAGTGCAAACTACAAAATGCAAAATAAATTTCATTTCTAGCTTGTCTCTCTTCATGGGAAAACCTCAAACAGTTTCTTTTTCTTTCCATTTTTCTGGTTTTTTTTTTTTGTTTTCTTCCCCTTGCAGAACACTCTTAAAATTCTTGAAATTTGTACCTACCAGTCATGATCTGTTACTTTCTTGTCAAACTATGGCCACATCTATACAACCCTAATAGAACTGTCTAATCATACAACAGTAAGGAAACGAGAAATACCAGGCCAGGCTTGGCTATTGGACCCTTGTCAGATAGTTTACTTTCACACTGACCCATTCCTTAAGACTTTCCCAATTCTGTTGTATAGATGTGACCTCACAGTCAGTCACCTGGAGAAACACTGAGAGTACCGCTTTAACATACTTACTACCATTGTTTATCTGTTAGGCAGGATGGGGGAACAAAGGAACCATGGATGCCAACAAAGAGAGAGTAACAACTTACCTGAAAAGATCCACTATTTCTAGGAATTAGCAAATGTTCCTTTGCCTCATCATGGAAGAGACACCCCTGTAAAAGTGGGAATCTGTCCCTCTCTACTGCTGGCTGCTGGGAGTGGAAAGAATGATGCTATATTTATCTAGGTTTATTAGCCAAAGAAAAGCTTCCGTGTTGATGAAAGTGACAAACCCAGGTAAGTCTGCCTAAGAAGAACCTGACCCTGGAATGATCCTTCTCCTCCTTTCTGCTCATCAGAATGGTCTCTTGGCGAATCACCTGGTGGGGAGGAGCAAGACAAGCAGAACGCCAATTCTCAGCTGTCCACCCTACTAATCGAAAAACCTCAGTCAGGAACAGTGAAAGTTGGTGAGTACCTATCACTCAACTCTGCCTTTTTTTTTATTGTTGAGGTGAAACTCACATAGCATAAAATTAACCATTTTAAAGTGGACAATTCAGTGGCTATTAATGCATTCAAAATATTGTGCAACCACCACTTCTATCTAGTTCCAGAAGACCTTGTACCCCACTAAGCAGTTGTTCCCCATTGCCCTCTCCTCCCAGGCTCTGACAACCACTAATCTGCTTTGTCTCTGTGGATTTACCTATTCTGGATATTGCACATAAATGGAATCAGACAATACAGGACCTTTTGTGTTTGGCTTCTTTTACTTAGTACATTGGTCCCCTCCACGTTGTATCAGTACTCCATTCCTTTTTATGGCTGCATGATATTTCATTCTATGTATATACTAAACCCTGCTTTTTATAACCTGAAAAGATAAGTGACAGCTATTATTTCAGTAACCTGAAGCCAAATAGTTTGGGTTCAGACTTGGTTCTGTTTCTTGCTATTGTCCTTGGGCAGACAGTTTTACCTCTTTATGCCTCAGTTTCCCCATCTGTAAAATCAGGATAATAATAGGACCTACCTACAAAGTACTTTGAACAGTGCCTGACATATCCTAAAGCTCTGAGCCAGTGTCTGCTGTCATTATGGTACAACTCACTCCATAAGATGATTCCAAATCTGCACATATGTGAGAGGCAGCTAGTCAGAGAGATGGTTCAACTCTTGAAAGAGTCATTCAAAAAATATTGATTGTACACCTCCTGTTTTAGGTACTGTGCTGAACACTGAGTATAACATGTGAGCACTCAGAATTTACAGTCTGAGAGGAGCAGACAACAAGAAATTAGACAAAAAACAGTCACAAAAGCCAAGTGCCATGAAGGAAGTAAAGAGTGCAATGAGCTGCAGAAGGACCTGGGGGTTCGATAATTTTAACTAAATAAATATTTACAAGGAATATATTATGAGCAGAACTAGTCTTTGACACTTACCAATATTATACAAATGAGCACATAGCTAACCATATTCCAGAATTACTTTTTTCAAGTCTAAAATGTAGAAACACACTTCATGTAAACAGAAATACTGGCTTCCGGCAGGGCTTACGCCTGTAATCCTAGCACTCTGGGAGGCCGAGGCAGGAGGAATGCTTGAGCTCAGGAGTTCAAGACCAGCCTTAGCAAGAGCAAGACCCCATCCCTACTAAAAGTAAAAAAATTAGCTGGGTGTCATGGTAGGCACCTGTAGTCCCAGCTACTTGGGAGGCTGAGGCAAGAGGATCCCTTGAGCCCAGG